TAGCAGTCGATTTAACCTCCGTCTTTGATGAGGTTCAACTTGAACTAGTCGAAAGAACGGTGGTGAATGCCAAAAATAGCAAACATTATCTAAATTACACAGTCACTTTGTGTGCCATTCAACAACGACAGAGGGGAACAAAACCATCCGAATTGAAATTCAATGATTTCTTCTTTTTTTTCGAGATAAAAAAGAGCTTCTGTTTGAATAACTTGATGCTGGGCCATCGAAGCCGTGACACAAAGACAATTTCAAAAAGAAATCCATACTTACCCCACACAGAGAAAGAAAAAAACAAATCCGAACAATGCAAATTGGAAAATCGCTATCTATTCCAATTTAAATATAAAACTTTTTTATCTGCTTACTCATTTAATCAATTCGCATGCACTTTTTATTCTCTCTCTCTCTCTCTCTCTCTCACTCATTCTGCCGATTGATTTGATGTTTTCGCTTGTTTTTTTTTTTGTCTTGTCTCTCGTTTTTCTATCTTGACTCTCGTTTTTCGTGTTAAAAGAACAAAACCATTGGCAAATGTGCCAGAAGAAAAATGTAAAGAAAGCAACAAAACGGTAAAACAACAAAGAATATGGCGAAAAAATGGTGAATATTTGTTTTTGTTCAATGCCACTCATAGTCGCCACCCAGCTAACGGAGAGCGAGACAGAGAGTGATGTCAAAAGAAACGGAGAAAAAAGTGCTCATAATTTGTATAAGAAAGCAGTTTCCATTTATTCATGGTTTTCTTTATTCGTGAATAAAGTGGAGCATAAAGAATACACACACACACAGAGAGAGAGAGAGAGAGGGAGAGAGAGAGAGAGAGAGAGAGAGAGAGAGAGAGAGAAAGAGAGAGAGAGAGAAAGAGAAAAGAAAAGAAAGAAAAAAACAATGAACGAGAAAAACGAGCGGAACACAAAAAAAATTGGCGGCAAGCTTACACACGGAGAGAGACACAACATATCGAACACAAGAGCTGTGACAGTAGGAAAAACTAAAGAACAAACCGCAACACGCGCGCATATATGATAACAAGTTTAAGGAAGTTACGGTGCAAAATTATGGATTGTTATACATAATTTTATGTACAATAATCTACGGATGCGGGAGTTAATGTAAACCATTGTATACGACAAAGTTTTTGTTTTTTTTCAACTCAGCATTTTACTCAAAGAGCTAATTGGCCAAACATCAATATAATTCTGATTCGACACTTTGCCGAAACTGCACACCATAAATTGGGGATTTTATAGTTTGTAAGGTTTGCAGAAAATGAGTTTGCGATGTCAACTGCCGAAAGAGCATTTTTGATTGACATCCGCCGAATTTCGTAAACAAACCGAACACTATAAATAGAGGTGTTCGATGACAGAGAATTCAGTCTTAATCCAGATGTGAGCATGTGAACTCATAAGATTTTGATTCAATAAATAAAGAATTTTTTAAAAAGAGAAAGTCTTTGTTTAACTCGGGCATACACCTAAAATATACCAGCACCATTTTGTTGCTTCTTTTTTTTCATTTTTGCTTCGATGATGCGTGAGTGGAGTTTGTTGTCTCTATTGAATTGTTGTGGTTTGAATCGGCATTGCCATTGTTGGTCGGTATTGTTGTTTGTAATGGCAACGAATTGTCTAAATATGCGGTGAGACACTGAATGACAACAAACTTGTACATTTTGACTACTTATCTCTGTTCGATGCTTGGTCTCGTATTCACTCGATATTTCTCAAACACGCTCTTTGCCTTTCTATCTCTATCTCTTTCTCTGTCTCTGTCTCTCTCCTTCTCCCTTTCCATCGCTAGCTCTATCGTCATCACACTTTTGGTGCTCTCTTTATGATATATACACTGCGACACATCTCTGCGCGTTTACGCCAATCGTATTGTTTCTATTGCCGTACATCGAATGCATATTTTCACCAGTTCAATTTCGATTTCGCGCTTTTTGTATCATTATCATCACCATTTCAATCTGTCTCTATGCCAATACACTGATGGCGAAAAAAAAATACTTTTCTCTTTGTTTTTATTGGTCCGCCTTCTTTGGTCGGTCGTTGAGATGATGACGAAATTCTTTCATTCCCAGTCCTCTCCAGTCCTGTGTGAGTGTCACACTAAAGTAAGAGAATGAGAGATAGAAAAATGCCTAGAAACATCATCGCACATTTTTACATCGCCTTGATGCTCCTTTCTTTTTCTCTGTTTAATTCTTTATCAAAAAAAAATGCTGCATTTCGGTTATTGCGAGTGGTGGAGTAGCAAAAAGTCCTATCATTCTTGATCAAATGATAATTTATTGCGGCGCTAGTTATGTACATATTTCTCGTTTGGCTTTCCTCAACGGAATGGACCATTATTTCTCTATGCAAAGCTTGTGTGACATATAAAAAGCCAAACGAGGCAATCGACATTCTAATTCAACATACTTACACAACACAGATGTGTATACCGCTGCTGCTGCTGCTGCTGATGCTACCGCTTAACTACGAGGCTTGGGACATGTAGCTGCTTTTGGGGAATCGAAATCGTTTGTGTGCACGTTACACCCCGAATGTGTTGTGTATGTCTGACAGAAACACATCACATCTTTTGCTACAACCATATCACCCATTGCCATAACACAGTCAATCGCAATATAATTGCTTTGAGTGACGTTCGCCAACTTTTACTTGGTACATATTGTAATTGGAATGGCTTACAAACGCACACACACATAAAACAAGTGCTGCTGCTTACATCCCATCAGTTCTGAGCACAGAACGCACTCACAACAAATTTGTATGATTGAAATGGCCGAAAATAAAATAAAAACCGAATCGACTATTTCCTATTTATGTCACTCTCATTCTCTCTCACACACATACTCACACTCATCCATTGTGTGCTCATTTCATGGTATACGGTATATTTGTTGTTTGCTTTGTTCTGTTTTTCCTTTCCACATTGGCACAATGCCGTGAAAGTCAAAAATGTTTTACATTGGCTCGTGTTCGCTGCTCTTTAAAATCAAATCCATCGTAAATTGAAATCGGCAAATGCAATTATTTATGCTTTTTTTCCTTTCTTTCATTCGGTATATCTATATATTGAATAATGGGGCTCTTTCGTTACCAATAATGGCTGAGAAAAGCCATTAGAGTGAAAACATGACAACATGAAACCACCACATTGATTTATACCACCTAGTCGCTTTTCAGTGGTTGAAAATTTACAAGGAGCAAATCATTGCTGTGTGTGTTTGCCAACCGTGATTCAATCGACCAACAGCGCAAAAAAAAAACAGAAAATAAAAAAAAACACGGAGAGAGCGAATAGACAATGATACCAACAATAAAACAGTTTATTAACTTGTGATTGTTTGAAGATTGAAAAAAAAAATATAATGCTATAGGTTTGAAAAGTTTTTCCGCTATTGTGTGGGCTGTAAGAGGTCAAGTGTATTTTGTTGTTGTTGCTATTGTTGGTGTGAAAACAAGGTGCGAGGTTAGTTTTTGTTGGAATGCAACGTATTTAACACGAACATTGGTCTAATGTTTGGTTTTCTGACGAATCAAATCAGTGTGTGAAACGACAATACAAAACTTTTATCTGTTCGAGTGGTGGTGACGGTAGTTCGTGTAATAAAACGTACACACTGCAATTTTATACATATATTTTATTTCTTTACAATTGCAATCTTCAATATCACCTAAGTTTGGTGGCTTCGCTGTTGCCCGAATCGATATCCGGTCGAAATTGTTTTATGCATTATTGAACGACAACATCAATCGTTCACAGCCAAGTTCCAATTTTCGGTCAGTTGTTCGTGTAGGTATTGTGTGTGTGTGTGTGTGTGTGTGTGTCGATGAGTGAAGTATGGGCAGAGAAAATGACAAGGGGAAAAGGGAAAGAGAGACAATGTTGAAAAAGCACTGGCACCACGAAACCACGCGATTCAATGTTCGATTTCACTTCTGTAATCGGCTATCACGTCTTTTGCGTATGCAATATTGTTGTAATCGATTCGTAGTCAAGATACGAAACTTGTGTGTCGATTGAGTAGGACAGAAATTGGAGTTTTGATGATGGCGAAAAATGGTAACATCGAACTAAAATCGTGCCGAACAGTGCCGTGCCGTGCCGTGCCACAACGGAGCGAAATAACAGCAGCAAAATAACAAAACGGAGAGAAAAAATAAAGGAAGAAAACTGTCTGAGTAGAATACTATTTCTTCTCACTTTCAATAGAGTGGCTAAGATAGAGTCTAGCATTCAATTTTATATCGAAGTTTGTGGCCATTTTCGAGCGCGTCACATTTCACATCGAAGCACATTTCATCGTTTATGTATTTACGGGCGCGTCATTCAATCCCAACGACCCGGTTTGATTTTGATATTTATCACAATGGCTACTAGCTGGCAGGCAAAAATTTCACTTCGGAATGCTAGCTGCCTCTGTCTGTCCCTCCCTCTCTCTCATTTTATCTATCCTGACGATACAATTGTACCACTATGAATACATGTATGTCTATGGATGCCACGAAAAAAAAAGGAAGACGAGAGAAATATAAGGAGCCACACATACACACATACCGTATGCATGGAGCCACACATTTGTATATCGAGCAAGCAGTCTCGGGACTGCCAGTAATTTCAATGATCAATGCCGCTCTTGATCTTATTGATTGTATTATCATATTACGTACAAGCCATAAAAATACATGTATATACTTATACATACATAACCAATCTATCGTGAGATGGAAGAACATGCATTGCTCTCTTTCTCTTTATCGAACGTGTTCGTTCTTTTCGCAAACGAAAACATTTTTATCATTTTCATTCGTTTTTATCTCACATCTTATACATGTCGAAATTGATTTCTTATCTTATTTACAATGCGATTTTGTATTTCCGTTTTTTTTTTTCTTTTCATATTTGTTTCCTTCATCTCTTCTGGGGTCGAACGATACCAACAACAACAACGTTGAACGATGACTCGATTGCGCGTGGTGTAGACAAAGCAGCAACAAGAATTCAAGCACTATATCGTGGTCATAAAGTTCGAGCAAGCATGAAGCAAGGCGATTCATCCGCAAACAGCAACAATACAAAGAGCGCAACATCAGCAACTGCCGAAAGTGACGCAAGCAATGAACCGACACAAGAAGAATTAAAAGCCGAGTTTCGGGAAGACGATAAAGGTTAGTAGTATTATTATTTGAATTCTCTTAATCTTCTTATTCGCAGGTTTTTCTTCCGCCACCGCTGCTGCTGCTGCTGCTCTTCATGTTTTTCTCCCATCATTTTACTAATGTGCCCATCATTTTCTCATGCACTCGACCATCGCTTAACTCTCTCAACGATTTTTCTTCGTAAATTTTTTATATCACATTTGGTCTTTGCTCAGTTCGTTTCTGAATCTTTCTCTCAAGTCGATTTATTACCGCCCGGAAACATAAAAACCATGAAATCGAAAGATCGGCACACAAAGCTGGATAGCCGTTAGTAGACACTTCTTACATGTTCACATTTTGTTGCCCGGTTTTTCATCGTCTTGCTCAATCTCCTTTCTCTATCATTTCCATCTTTTTTAATGTATCCTTCATTCAAATGGATTAAACTGGATGCTTCTTTTTTTCTCTATCTTACTCTCGTCCATATTCATAAAATGCTACGTGCAATTCGGCCAAACAAAGGACAAATAAAATTTATCCCTTGGCTTTGCGTCGCACTATCATACCGAACAATGGAATACTAAGCCATTTCGAATGTTTATGTGTATATTCCATTTTCTTTTTTTCGTCGCTTTCTTCATTTTTTGACATAGTTTCGGGGCCACTGCATAAATTGCCACCAATAATCTCTCCTTAAAGTTGGGTCCTCAATGTATGTTTTCCCTGTGTATAATAACTACTCCGTCGATTTTTTTCTTTACTTCTGCTCACTACATTTTGCCGTCTCTCGATTTAACGTTTATTGCCGTTCTTCGTCGTCGTCGTTTTCGTCTTCTTCGACGTATTAGGTTGATTCGCTTCGTGGGTCAAACGGTCGCAATGTAATGGTGTTTGTATGCTGTTGCTGTATGTGAATGTGAATGTCTAAATGTTCACAACATTCGATTTGTTGATTCTCTGTCACACGACGCGTAATAAACGACAGAAACAAATTGTCTAATCATGCTGTGTGCACATTAGAGTGACGAAACTGAAAGCTTTTAAGTTCACAGAGTACATAGAAAACTGGAACAGTCTGCCAAGGTGAAAAAAGCGTCACATTTGAATTCCAAATTAGGTTTGTTTGCCAAAAAGTTTGCCCGTCCGAATCACAAGCACATACAGCGCGCGCACATTCAGTCAATGGGTATGGGCGTGAGCGAGAGAGAAGGAGCAATTGAGATCAAGTGAGATAGAGAAAATGTTGCAGGCAACAGCACTAAGGTAGTCGTAGGAAACATTCATTTCGAAATGTTAACATTTACGTTATTTGTTGGCCCGCATTTTTTTCGTTGATAAATTTTCAATTGGAAAATCCTTCGAAAAAAAGGTTTCCAATTGACATATGCGCCTCTCTTTATTTCACTCACTCCCATATTTATTCTGTGAATCAACATAGATACGTGTTGTTCATTTGAATTTACAGTCAAATAGATGAAGAAGATGATAAAAACATTGCCTTAGCCCCAAACGAAGAAAAAAGCATGTATACGGGCAGCTTGCTGTTAGCACTAAGTCTGTTTATTACTTTAAGTTTTGCCATTTGATCATTAAGCAATGTTACTATTTTCATCCTCTTAAATATAATTAGAACATGTGTAAATCGAGTATCCACCACATTGCAATTCCGTCGCAAAAAGGATTCGGAAACATTCACACACAGATGAAGAGACGTGGAGAGCAAACAAAAAAGTAAATAGAAAGGGACATAAGAAGCTGTGATAGCAGCTTTAACACGATAGCATGGGCATGTGTGACAAAAACCGCCCCTAATCAAATTATCCGGTTGGAAATGGAGTCAAAATAATCGAAACGAACGCCATACTCTCACACTCACACATGGACAGCATGGAAGCAGCAATAGCAACAGCAAAAAATAAAGGGTGTTTCAACAAGGACGCAAAAAACTTTAGATAAAAAAAACACATAAATTAAATTCCAATTGTCCAAATTTTTATTGTGTTATGTAGTTTGGTCTATGGCAATTATGTATGAAAGTGAATTTTATGCAAACGGCCTGTATGGCGCATTTTAATTGTGGCCTGTTTAGAGGAAAAATTTCACCAAAAAATGTTGAAAAATGGCATTTTTAATGGTAAAAAAATGCATTAAATATGGACTTACACACCTAAAAACGCAGCTAAGGCACTCGCGATGAAATAATGTATCGCCAAATAGCCAAAAAATGGTCCAATTTTGTGAAATTTGTGATTTGAGTAACCAACCTATGCATTTGGCGCACAAATTTTCTGTCATTTTTGAAGCTCAATTCTGATTAAGTTATTATTTGACGGTTTTTCAAGGACATTTCATTGTTGAATCGATTTGGCTAAACAATTAGTGTCCCCAGCTGTCATTTAAAAGTATCAAACTCAATAATTGTCAAAGCCATTTTTGTAAAATTGGCCAAAGTTGGCCATGATGGCCAAAAACGGCCTATTGGCTATATCTCAAAAACGGTGCGGAATTTTGCTTTTGTTATTGAGGCGAATTTTCGGCTCAAGCTGAGATAAAAAATTTTAAGAATAAAAAAAACGAGAAAAATATGTTTTTGAGATGTTAAAAGCCAGATTTTAACATGAGATTTTGATTCTTCGGAAATTGAAAAATAGACCTATTTTCGTGGTAGGATTTTACGATTTCAACGCGTTGATCCTTTGTTAATGTTGACATGGTTAAATTTGCCAAAGACTGACGCCTCCAAATGACATATCAGTTTGACAGTTCTGGTCAGCGTTCATGCTGTCCCTATTGGAAAACTTTTTGCGTCCCTGTTGAAACACCCTTTATATACCGAATCCGATTAGTTTGTGTATGCACATGACATCAACGGTACACAACGAGTAGTACGAGATTTGCAAATCGTACGTTAAAAGTAGTATCGTCGCACAACACGACCAACACAGAAAAAAAAATTTACCGCACCGAGGTAATTTGCATATTTCATACATGGCAAAATGCTATTCGGCAAAATACCAGAAAATAGAAGCGACGAAAGAAGAAGAAATTAACAACACTGAACGATATAGTGATGAATGCAGGTGCATCTAGGGTAAATAAAAGGAAATTGGAGCACAGCACATTGGTATTTAATCATTTTTCTATTATGCGATGTGTACACGAGAGAAAAAGGTTACGAATCCACTGAATCTCTTCTCGAATTGATTTTCAATTGACGTTATCATCATCATCACGTCATTCGTCGTCGCCGCCGCCGCCGCCGCCGTCATCATCGTCGTCGTTGCAGTTGAGTGTGACTATATGCTCCTCCGGTTGGGTCGCACAGTTGGAATTCAATTGTGGTCTCAAAATGGAACTATGAACTCTCGTCTCGAATTAATTCATTCATGTATACCATGATTAATATATTATATAACGAAATTCGTTGTCAGGCTAACAATTTAATTAGTTGTGTTTGCACACACCGACGTTTGTTTACGGATGCTTGCGCCTGATCTCTTCCATTCTCTCACTCAAGAAAAAAAACAAACTAATCCAATGTGGATCCATGTTGCTGTTGTTGTTGTGAGCAGCTAAACCGAACTAATTATTATTTTCCAAGAATTCAAAATGAACCGAAGCGTTGATTTTCTCTTTTCTTCACAACACAAAAACATACAGTAGCTGTCAACCCTCGCTGTATGGTTCCACCTCATCCCTACAATCAACTAATAGAATTTGAATTTTTCATCTGATTTATGGTGACAATCCAAATAATTCACGTCGCATTAGTCTTCATTTCGCAAGTACATATTCATTTAGGCCTTCTTTTTTATTCGGTTGACGTGTATGCATTTATCAACATGTTAAATATGTGTAGCACAGCGCATTGTGTACGTTATTTGATTGCTGTGGTTTCTGACAATAATCGCATAGTTGCATACTAAACAACGCTGTGCACAGGTGAAAATACACAAGTAACAACAAGAACAGCAGTGGCAACAGCAGCAGCAACAGCAGCAGCTGCAACAGCAGCAGCAACAGCAGCAGCAACAGCAGCAGCAACAGCAGCAGCAGCAGCAGCAACGATAAACATAAGTCAGCCAAATGAATGCCTGCACCACGCTTGTTGATTCTCTCTATCTTCTTCTCATTCGGTCGGTTGGTTGCTCATTCGCTAACTAGTTAGCTCGTTCTCATTGCTGTTCCATGTGCAGTGCAGTGTGCCTGTGAACACTTCGAAAGCAATAAACACGAGCTTTGCTATATTTTGTCGGCTTAATCACATTAGAATTATCTGTCGATCAAATCCAACGGAGAAATCGTAAACATTGTTCTTTGACTAGCTTTTCCAACCACATAAAGTGTCAGCTATTTTGAGTGAATTCACATTCATTTTAAAGTTGGCTGTTTTCAATGGTGTGTGTGTGTGTGTGTGTCCTTTTGTGTAATGAATCTTCAACACAAAAATTCCCATGCATTTTCGGAAAAGTGACGAGTTGTACTCGAGCTGAAACGGCTTAAATTCAAAGAGTAATTGAATGAAACAACAATTTTGTACAGCTGACATATAGAGCGATTGACACCACTAAATTAAACCAAATATTTATTTCCATTGTTACACATGTCCAAATATATTTTATTATGTAATAGGGATTTTTTTTCTCTTTCGTACGCACGTGCTTAATGCATGCAAATGTCGAGTTGACCTTTAATTAAATGGAGGATCACGGCTGGTGATAGCATATAAGTTCACTTGGTTTAGATCGGTGACATTCGGTTGGAAATAGCCCATTCGAATGGTACGGTTATGTGGTAAATTAATTGCATCGCGTTCATTAATCGGTTGACGGCATGCGTCACTCTTGTCCACAGCAGCAAATACATGGTCGAATGCATACAGGTAAAAAACAGGACATAATCCATGATTACCAAACGGAAATGGCCTAGCCGAATTGTTTACAAAAGATAAACAAATATTTGATTATTTTGATTTTTGAAGAAAAAGCATACACAACATGGTAATGGTGGCAGAGTGATGAACCAAAGAAGAAAAACAAAACAGAAACAAGGCCATCATGTTTATTGAATATAATTCAATTAAAAACACACACACACACACACACACACACACACACACACACACACACACACACATACACACCATATTTCTTTCATTCAACTTTTTACCTTTGACCGATTTGTGATTCGCCGCAATTGCCCATAAGCCAATTTTGATCGCAAGTTCGTTCGCGTGTACCGTAACCACCAGAGGCCGTATGAATACATTGTGAACTAATTGCTGCCTGCCTGGGATCTGCGTTTTTCGAACCATCGAAACCTGGACCAGCTGGCTCACACACTGCAAGACGAAAAATGCAAATTCAACATAAACTAACTCAAACTAAATCTCCTGAGAAATGCACGTATTTGAACGGAATATTCACCCGTTCACACACGTTATACGTTAATTTGTTCGAATAAAAGCAATTCAACACGATGTTTTTCTAACCACATAAATCACATATTTAAATGATAAAGTGCTTTAACTTGTTCATCAATTTAATGGTGGATAAACATGAAATTTCGCTAGAAAAGCCACTTATAATTTCAAAACTAATGGAAATCAATTTGGAAATTTAACATTTCAAAACTGAAATTGAAAGCAATTTAGAAATGTGATGTAATGAACAATTTGATGGAATCGAGCCCGTATGCCTTTTATCGCGATGAATATGACTCACAATGAATGGTTCCAATTTGTTTGGGACCGAAATCCGTAGCAGCTTTTGTAATTAAACGTGCACCAAATGAAAATCCAAACAGATAAGCGGCGGATGAATCGAACGACAAGTCTCTCAGCACTTTCATTTTATCGGTCAAAATTTGAGCAATCGCCTTGAAATTTATCAACAAAAATCCATAGTCTTCGTTCTGGAAAAAGAAATGATTGTCAACAGACACAGTACACATATAATTTTACCAACATTTGAATTATAAACAAGAGGAATTTGTGTCTTTGTGTGTATGAGAGCGCGCGCGTGCAATTGTGCATTGTTTTATTTGTGCATAGGAAATTGCGCCTGAAAGCTCTAACATGTTCTATTTAGACATGTTTGTACATTCACACGTGGTACAAAAGCAAATATATTGTGTGTCGTTGACGGCAAAGCCAACCCGAAATGAAAAAAAAAACTGTCAGACTTACATAGTCGCGATAATCCATGCATATGATGCATCCGCCTCTGTGTGCTATCAACTCTGAAATGAACACATTGCAACAGAGAGAAATTAGTTCGATCCTCATGGATTGTGTTCTAAGTACTACATGCTTAGCGGCTGTGTAATGCATTCTTAGTTGTTGTGTGTGTACAAATGACCCAATTTTCTATGAGCTTTGAAATAAATCACGCGCAAAGAATGCATTTTACACAAAACAAATTTATATATTTATGCATGGAACTTCAACTATGTATATACACGTTGGTGTATACGTTGTTGCCACATACTTTCTCGCAACTCTTTGGACCACGATGTGTTGCAACTCTCCCTCCAACCATGCACCTAATGGGTTAAATTTGTATTTCCATTTAATTAGTACACTGTTTAAATTAATTGGAAAATACTTTTGTTTTGCCATAAAAATTGCACACAAAAAAAAACAATGAGTGAAAAAATAAAATGCGAACAATCATTGCGTATTTTTTGGTTGGCCAACATTCAGCGAGTGCATCCTCCAGCACGTCGTCTTTTGATGTGGAAACCATCACCTCGGTGTTGCTGTAAAAAATAAAATTATTTAAAAAAAAAAAAACACTAAAATATTGACTCGATGCAAAATGAGACGAAAAAAAAAACACCGAGGCGTGCGAAAAACAGAGAGGAAGCGAGGGCGAGAGAAAATAAATACTCAATTAAGAGCAATAAAAACAACAATTATGGGACGAAATGTGAATTCACAGCATAATTTTGTGATAATAGTGGCTTTTTTCCCTTGCTTTTTACACTCATTTTTTCACTTTGTCTCTTCTCGTATTTGCGCGATCGTTGAGAAATGTTACCAAGTTAGGCACAACGAGAGAAACAAACGAGCAACAGAAAAAAATGGCTTTTAAATTTCTCGTCTCGTCTATTCAAATGGACTTTTAGTGGTGGTATGAGGAGGCCGCGAGACCAAAAGCAACAAAATTCAGATTTTCTCATTAAAAATTATTACTACACATTTGACAAACAAAACACGCAGCCAAAACTTCCTCATTTCATCTCGTTATTCGGTGTTTCACGCTCCTTCTTCCTCTCTCTCTCTCTCTCATTCTTTCGCCTCCCTCTTTCTCTATTTATTGGCATCATTTGCAATTTTAATGTCGAATTTTTGCGCGTTGATAATTTCATACTTATTATCATAAATAATAAATTTGGTACGACGCTCCAGAGTGTTTCGTTCAGCAGCAAATGTTGTTGAAATTAATGCGAACAGTGCACTAGTGATCGCTGTTGTTATAACGAGAATGCTGGCTGTTTTCATATTGTTTTTTTGTTTCTGGTTCAGTTCAGTTGTTGAAATGGCCAAACCGACGAAAAAATTACGGCGAGAGTGCGATAGAGAGCGAATTTTCAATGTTCGTCACTCGAAATGAGTTTAGATGTCGAGAGCGAAAAATATCGGAAATGTTAAATAAAATGGCTGGCAAAACAGGAAAAAAATGAACTTTTTTCTCTTATTCCCCAGATATAAAAAGAAAACAGTGTCTATTTCTGCTTTTAACGCAGCAGGAAAGAGCCAGAGTAAAATGAAAATTTCAAAAGAATAAATAAACGCGGTGTGGTGCGGACAAACGAACGAATGAACGACGCGAAGTGGACGGAACACTGTCTTTTTAAGCAGCACAAACTGTAATCACACTAGAGAATGACACGGTGGAAATGTCGAAAATTGAACGATTCCGTGCGCGAGAGCACGAGTAAAACGTGATGCAAACCGACGAGAGACTAATTGATTTTGAATTCGGTGCGAAACATGGCCTCTCTATTTAAAGTCGCTGGGCTTAAAAATGGTGCTATTTCGACCATCATTCTATTTTTGAAAATATCGAGCACACATTATTCGGCATTGTACTTATTCATTTACATTGCAAAATTTGGTACAATAAATTCAAACAATAATGATAACGAGGAAAGTAAATTTAATGGCTTTACATACATCCGAACTAGAAGAGTGATACGTTATCAGTGAAACTCATGCTATTCACTCCCGTTTTTGGCATATTTTTTTTTCTCGGTTGTTGTTGCTGTTGTAGATGGGCGCATTCTGATTTTTTTTTTTGCCTTTTAGAAATTTCGGCAAATACATCGGCCCAATTTTGTGCAACGAACTCAAAACATTATACCACCTGGTGAAATCCATAATTCAAGATAAGACCCGAAAAAAAACATACAACTGAAATGCAAACAACACATCGTCAATTTATTTTGGTTCGTGCGTTTTACTCTCGTCTAGTTTTCAAGTACGCGTGCAAGTACAAGTACAGACGAGTAAAAACAAACAAACAAAAAAACCGCACAATGAGATTCGTAATTTTTTTTTGTTTCTCCTCCGAATGTGTGCGTTGTTTTTTTTCCAGGAGATTTTCATGAAAAGACAATAATGATGGACAATTTGTTATGCAAAGCATTTTAATGCATGTAAAATTATCCGTATCACAGCACACAACGGTTGCGCGAATGTAAAACGGGCCCCGGTTGAAAAACATCAAACAACCGTTGCAAGAGTCGCAATACAATACGGTCACACAAAACTGTTCATTTCACAATTATCACACATACGCACACACACACACACACACACACACATGCGCCCACTCGTATTCTCTTGGTGCTGCAAACTTTTAGCCGTTCGTTTATTCGTTTGCGCGCTGTGTTCATTTTTGCTGTGCGTTGTTCTTTTTTTCTCTCTCTCGTTCGTCAGCATGTGTCGTACTTGTTTCTTTTGGTAATTAAATGACAATGTAAATGGGATATATACTATATCGAGTACCGCAGTGTACAGTGCTTTTTCAAAGTTTCACTTCTTATTCGTTCACGCTTTTTTCCCGCCGCGCGCCGCGCTCTTTTCTCTCTCTGCCTTGTTCTCAAAAATTTGGTCGTTCTTTTATGTGCAACCATGACCAAGGTTTTCGTTCAATGAAATGTTGGAACTCGAAAACTTCTAATTGAACGCCACATCTGCTGGAAAGTCTTATACACTAGCTAAAGTTCAAATTGTGACTCTTGCAACATTTTTCCCTTCATCTTGTTGTCTTTGTCTTTCTTTCTCTTTCTCTCTCTCTCTCTCTCTCTCTCTCTCTCCCACTCTCTTTCTCACTCTCTCTCTCTGCCTCTGTATCGCTTCCTCATATACACATTTCAGCTCTCTTTTTGCCGCTCACGCATCATTGTTGTGAGATGAATTATTGCTTACATATATAATAAACTTTCCATTGTCACATACATCCGAATTGCTGTTGATTTGCATTACATTTTACCAGCCAAAAATTGCAATGAAATTGCGTCGCTGCCAACAATTTCAAAGTTGTCGCAAGTGAGCGACACACAAAAGAAACAATTGCGTTCTTACAAAATAAATGTACAGCGTATACAGACACACACAATGTGTATAAAACACCTACAAGTTTTCGTTTCTTTTTTTTTTCTTCGTTGATTCTGTGTGCGGAAGTTTAAATCGCCGCTTATTCGCGCGCACACACACACACTCGGCGATAACGGTGTCAAGGGGTTTGAGATGTACACCGAAATTTGTGCACAGAAGAGTGAAATTTTAATATAATTTTCGTAAATGTTTTATGAACAGTTTCAGACGGATCAAACTCACGCCACGGGATTCAAACCATGGTTGAAAAGAATAATGCATGCGATTTTTTCTTCCCTCTATTTACTGTTGATGTTGTTCTCTTCTTTGCTCATCCGCTCACATTTATTTATTAAGGAGTTGTTCAGTTTTATTGCCAGTTCTTGCATGAAAATCAACACTTTGCAGCATCCTTTCTCACGCACACCTACACACAAGCACAGCCAGCTAAAAACAAAAGTAACGACAGAAAAACATCCTTCAACAACCGGTTTTTATTCCGCGAAAGTAATCACGGTAAAATGGCAGGGCTCAATATCAGACTAAGTCATGCGTGCAGAGATCATTTTGCATGCTTTGGAGCGTCAGTCTGGATTAACTTCTCACTAGGCAACATCCGACGTGCAAACGAATGAACAAGAAGTGGGAAATGAGAGAAAATAAGAAAAGAGCGGCAGGATAAGAAGAAGAAGAAGAAGAAGAAGATGATAGACGTGAAGGAATGAAAAATTGCATAAATAGGCATGAATTGTATACAACTTGTGTCACTGATTTATTTTCACCGATGTGCGATATTAAAAAGCTACGACGTTCGCAACAGCTCCAAATCTGTAACAACACACGGCTGCTATTGCATTTCATTAATGCCACAAAATCAAGAGATCAATATCGGGTCGCCATCGACGTATCCATTTTTCATCGCATCACTTCATGTTTCACAATAAGATTTTGCGGCATTCGGCTAGAAAGACGACGGTTTTGGGGTTGGTGTGATCGATTCGGGTGGCTAGAAGCGCGGACGAAAATTGAGATTAATGTGACTGCCGCAACATTCTCCCAAAATCATCAATTTAATTGATGCTTTGAAATCGAACTCAAATCAAATTCTCGAAAACGCACTCAAGCCTATACTGATTACAAATACCTCGCTCACTTACCCATTCGCATAAACACGTACCCACTTTTTCTGTTCTACTTTCTCTCCCTCTCTCCCTTGCTCTGCGTCTCGTTCAGTTTAACTCGTCCTTTCCAGTATTTTTGATCTGTTTGGTTGTGAGTGTGATTTATCCAGCATTTGTTAATAAATGACATTCCAAATCTTTGTGCTAATAAATGATGTGCCATTTTTTACTTGAACATAGACCAACTTTCTTTTTATTGCTCTGGCACGTTTGAATACAATTCGATCATCGTATCTCTCAAGGCACACTCAAAGAAATAGACAAACCAACACCAACGCAGGCACACAAAATAATAAATGTGAAGGCGAAAGTTGGGCCAATAGCCAAAAGGATTCCAAACTAACTCCAAGCGCACACAATGTGCAAATACTTTCTGATGGACAGTAAAAGTATCTATGTCCATTCACGGAATATAGTTTAATTAAGAGCAAACAATAGAGCGCACCAAATGAATTAAATGGCAAAAAGGAGACTGCAAAAATCTATATAAATACGGTATTTTCTCGACCATCAGACGAATAATGTGAGAGATAGAAAAGAGAAACCTGAGCCCATTATGGGGAGCCAACACACAAGCAAAAGAAGAGCGGCGGAGAGCGAGGATGGGGAGAGAGAGAGAGAGAGAGAGAGAGAGAGATCTATCGAAACATCTCTTTAAAATTAAGTTCAGTTTGACGTATGAGTGAGCAATTTCAATGTCATCAGCGTCGTTTCTGCGGGGCCGATGTTGCTATTCTCTTTGGTAACTTAATGTCATCGAATTTCCGTTCATTTTGCAAGAGCTGCTCCATGTAACCACGAATTGTCGGAGCTGTGATTAATGATGTTCAACATCTAGAGTTATCGAGCGCACGGCTTTTTTTTTCCTCTCATCCTCTATCACCGTGTGCTCTCTCACACTCTTCATCGTTCCCACTCTTATTTTTGCGTTTGCATCCAAGAAGTCGTATTCGAGAGAGCGAAACAAGTAAGAAAAAACCGTCCAGTGTAGCACAGATAAACGATAAGGACGATGGAAGGAGGCGAAAACGGCACAAAATGAAGAAATAAGACGGAGCAAAGCGTAAAAAAAAGAACGTGAAAGAAAGCATTAAACAATAAAAACAATGAAATTTTCCACCATCATTATTATTCATTGTGGTTCAATCTTGCCAAGTCTACTCTGTATACATATTTCTCGTGTTGTGTCGCTCGCCGTACGGCGTACGGAAATATATTTTAGCTTTGGTGTGAATACAAAACTGCTTGCAAATTTAACGTTTCACATCATCTTTGGCTTAATTTTCTTTTAATAAGCGAAAACACTCAGCATTCGAGGTGAATGTCATTGCTGTGGCATGACGTTGCGCCACTGTTCGCTTCAAGTAACAGACAGAAAAAAAAATTGTTTTCATTTGAACGTATCTCTCATTTTCTACGTTTAGGTTGATTTATATTCATCGTAACTTTTTAATAGGCATTACATTAAACATTTGTGTAAATTCATTTTTTTCAGCTCAATCTGCTCTGTTATCTTAATATTTTATTATTATGATTATTTCTTCATATTTTTTTTTCTCTTCTACTTGCAGAATTGTGCGATGCAGCAGTTCGTATACAGGCTGCATTCCGTGGACACTTAGCTCGCAAGACCGGTGGTGACGACAAAGATCTACAGGAAATCACCAAAAAAGTAGCCGAGGAATTAGATATCGACTTAAATGACCCGGAATTGAACAAGGCAGCGACTAAAATACAAGCTTCGTTCCGTGGTCACAAAGTTCGCAAAGATACCACCGCTTAAATGCTTTAACACAGCACCACCAACAACAACAACAACAACAACAACCAAAAAAAAACTCGGCTTGTATTAGAGCATATTCAACGGTGTGTATTCTAGAATATACCCATTCTTGCGAAAGAAAGAGAGAGAAAAACAAACAAAACACTCACATCAACTTTTCCGCAAATTTAAATCACAACAACAGAAAAAGACAGAAAAAAATAAAAGAAAACAATTTAAAACAACAACAACAACCAACCAACAACACAAATTTTTAAAATGCTGCACGACAAATTGCACCTCTTTACTTTATGTAGTTCTTTTCTAATTAATGAATTAATGTCTAGAATGTTCGTATCAATTAAATTTTTGCTTGTTTTTTCATTTTTATTTTACAACTGGAAGAGAACACACTCACACACTCACAAACAGAGCAAAACAAAGAGAAAATTCTCAACTTAAACAAATTGTCAGAACTAACACACAAAAAATGATGATGATGATGATCAAGTTGTATACAGTGTCTATCTATTTTTAATACCATTTTTCTTCAAACACATAGAATCGACACACATACTGACAAAAACGCCATCCGAAAAATATTTTTTCATATTAAAAAATGGAACTGTTCTTTGACTCACAACTGACACATTTTAACAAACTTAATGAAAAGCTTTTGCCGTTATATTACAATGACCCAATGGAATTGCAGACGAAAGCGGGTAGTGTGTGTGTGTGTGTGTGTGTATGTTGTGGACACAATTCAAACGAAATGGATTTGAACACATTGCCATCAATTGTGATCACACGGCATATTTCGGTCACTATTAAATTTCGTTAGTCAATCAGTTGTTAATTGAACGTCATTAGTCTCGATTTAACTGGAAAATGCTTATTTGGTCCTAAAAAAAGCAACAACAAATTTATCCAATTTATACATTAAATCTAAAATTACAGGCTAATGACGTGTGCATTTGTTGCGATACATGTTCATATGCCGATGATTTCATGTGAATTTACCAAATCAAGCCAATTTGATCGAGACAAAACTCGTGAACGAAATACCATTTTCAACGAAATTCACAGTCGTGTTTCGCCGCAATGCCAACATTCATTTCGAACAGAAGTAACCATTTTGAGCCATTCATTCCAGTCAATTTCAGTTTCCAGTTACTGGAATTTATTTCAGTGTGACAATAATTCATAGTGGCGAAGCGTTACGACTACGCGTACCACTACGAACCACTACGTTTAGGGAATTAGTGAACGTAGTACTACGCGTACTCGTAACGCTTCGCCACTAGGCAATAATTGGCAAAGTAATTGTTTTTGAGAATTTCAAATTGATTTTTCTCGTCGAAAATTCCAAGTAGATTTTATTGATTGTATTGTATTCATTAGGCATCGTAATCAGTCAATTATTGATTGAAGTCTTTTCTTCTTCTGTTTGTTTTCTGGTGGATTTTACCAGAATTTCGCCATATTTCAAGATTTCAAGGCCATTCAACAACAACAACAATCAAATAATCAAATGATTTATTATTTTAACACACCGAAATTCCATTATTTTCATCGTAAGAAGTACGTGTTTATTTTGGCAAGCTGCGCAAATATACCAACGTAAATATTCTCATGGCCACAATGGGGACTATCACACAATTCAATTCACGAGAACGAACAACAACAACACAAATTAAACCATTCACAATTATTGCATTTTATAGAGAGAGAAAGAGAGAGGGAGATGTATAAATTGATTTTGCCATCGTCGCTGTCGCTGTCGTCGCCACACTGCAATGGGTTCATTTGTGAATAATAAAAAGAAAAATTGAAAAGTGCAGAAAGAGAGCTTAACTGGAGTGCATTCCTGACCCTTAGCCACTTATTTTCTCTGGCCAATCGTCAATTCATTACCAAAACCAATTGTAATAACCATCCATTTATGAGTTGCTATTTTACGATAGGGATACAACAGCAACAACAACCGAACAACAAAAGTGTCTTGATTTTATATCCTTGATATATTGATTCGATATTTGTACTGAATGAATCATTGAATCATTGACATTTTGTTTTTTTTTTCTTCGTCTTCTTCCGCTTCGATACGACAAACAAATCAAAGCGAACAAGAGAAAAGCAGAAAGAGAGAGAGAGAGAGAGAGAGAGAGAGAGAGAGAGGAGAGCGAAGACAAAAAGATAGAACAACTAAAATAATATCGTGAAGCAATGACTCTTTTCATAAGACATATTTTTATTAGTCGTAAATGTACTTTTCGCAATTTCCATCATAAACCATGAACTATTCGAAGTTTTGTTGAGTCGTTTTTTCCACGCTTATTTCCCGAAATAAAAGAGAGTAAAACCGATGAATTGCTAAACATGTAAAACATGTTCTTGGTTATTCAAAGCACAGCGGTTGCTGAAATCAACACGCGTTACCACTGCAAGATCGTATGAGATGAGCACGAGTTCTAGACTATAAAATGTCATTCGGTCGAGCGACCAGAAGCGTGTAATGTGTGTGTGTGTGTGTGTGTGTGTGTGTGTTTGTGCGTGTGAGCGATAGAGTGAGATCAGAACATAATCTGGGCCAATCTGGCTATGTGGTAAAAAATGATACATACATATATACCGCTTAAGTTTCCGCTGCGTGTCTTTTCATACACCACTTTTGCTAACAACCAACTTGGTTCACACAGTACTCGCTTAGCACGTGACGCAACGAAAAAAGGACACATTCTCTCTGTCTCTCACATTCACTCACTTAACACATGCGTCTCTCTCTCTCGCTCCTCATCTCTTGCTCTCTCTCTCTCTCTTTTGCCAATGTGTGCTGGTGTGTGTGTGCCGGAAAAACAAACATGGAATTCTATTTTTTTCAGTCGATCCTCAAAAAGCTTTGACCGCATTGAATTGTTGCTTAGAAGCAAAATACGCGCTAAACCTATATCTCCTGATCTAAATACAAAAGCACTTCAAACATATACACAAACAAACAAACAAAAACACAGAGAGAGAGATTCGAAATGAGCATGGAATTGGCATACGTTCAAGTAATAATAATAATAATAATAATAAATTTCTTTTGCGACAACAAATAAATATGAAAAAAAATGCTTTTTACATTTACGTTTTGTGTCTTTTTGTTTTGGGTTTTTCAGTTGTTGTTTTTTTTGCGTTCACATTTGTTTTTTCTCCATAGATTAGATTTTAAGCTGGACTTGTAGTGTGATTATTAAACTGTAGAGATTGGCAAATCATATTCACGCTAACAGCAACAACAACAACAAAAATAAAAACCGCATGGGTTATATCTTATGTGTCGACACAATCTAAACAAACAAACAAAAAACGAGAGAAAAATCCCAGTGTCAACATATAATATATTGATGAAGATAACCCTCCCTCCACTAAAATTCTCTTATATATCTAAATATATATATGAAAATACTTTTTTTTTGTTGATTGGTGAGTGTGTGTGCATGTGTATGCGCGCCGAAAGATAATAATGATTTACCATTAACGTGTGTTTAAAAAGTTTTAGAGCAGCGGCGGTAGCAGCAGCAGCAGCAACAGCAGTTAAGTCTCCTTATGTGTAAAATCATTTGGAAACAATGTTTAGATTTTTAGTGATTAGCTGAACAAACAGAGAGGAAACCAAACTAAACCACAAAAAAAAGCTACAACAAACAAACCATACACACACAAACCAGGGAAATTTAATTTTCAATTCAAACAAAATTCGTTTCTTTTGTCATTCAAAACCCATCCCTTCGTCCTCTGTATTCAATCAACTTGGAAATTATCGATTGCGAGGCTTTCGGCGATTTTTTAGCTTTGACATTTCAAAGCGAAACGAACACAAAATCATGTTCACCATGACCAAACCGTGGAAATGGACACTTCAAATGGGATAACCGTGTTGAACGAATGAATTTTCCGAGAAATAAAAAAAACACAACAACCACAAATTAAACACAACAAGCATGCGACAACAAACACAATAAGATAGAAAAAAAAATAAACAAACACCGTGCAGATGACATATATCAGTCATCGGCATGAAAAAAATACCATTCTTACAAAACAAACATTTCAAATTGGTGAAAAAAGAAGTGAAGAGAAAGAGAAAAAAAAATACGTGAAGAAAATAGCGTCAATTTTCTACGTCTAATTCAACTCAAGACTGTTTATTTTTCTTTTTCTTTTCCTTTTTACTTCTACTTCTTCTTCTTCTACCTTTTAAACAATTTCAGTTCCAGAATTTATTCAAATTTGTTATGTATATACTGCCTACTCCTCCTATCGTTTCTAACGCAAAAAAAAACTCGTCCATGCTCGGCATATCGCAGTTTTCCTCCCGTCGCAATGACAACAATTAAGTCAATTCAAAACGTATAACTTACCCAAAACCAAAAGCTTCGCAATCATCACCGGTACCGGTAGCCAGCAAAGATAAAAAAAACCCATGAAAAGATTTAAAATCCAAGCAAATAAGACACAAAAAAAAATCTCTAATTTTCAAATTTTAAATGAAATAGAATGAATGCTTTTAAAAGAAAATAAACTTAAATTTAGAGCCCAAATTCAGAATATTATTAAAATTTGATGATTTATGTAAAAACAAAAAAAATAGTGATAAAGATAAAGAAAAATGGAACGATTTAAAGAGAAAAAACTACCAAATAAATTAATCAGAAAATTGTAACATCCTCACTGTCAACATGAATGATGTTTCATTTGGATGGCACCGCCTTCCACAAACTCTTATCTTCTTCTTCTTTTTTCAGCTGTAGATTTTTCCAACAAAGGGTAAGGTTCATGAGCCGCGGGGTAAGTACATGGGATTTAGATTTTAAATTAAGAATCGAAAGCATCAGAGCGAGAGAACGTCGAGTGAATAAACAAATTCATAGTATATCCACTTTGATCAAATGCTCCGAATTTTTTCATAAGCCAAAGCAGCGCTGCCGTTTGACTTCATTCAATTCCGAATTTCATAATACTTGCAATTAAGTCAAACGACTTGAAATGTCAACACACATGCCAAGCCCAAGTTGATTGGAGGCAAACAGCAAAATTCTGCAATTGAACCAAATACGAAATGAGTTTTTTCTCTACATCGCCGAGATGCCATTTAAATTGTGTGATACATATCTAAGTGAAGCGCAGTGTTTTGCATTTGAAAAGAAAATGTCAGAATCATCAGTTGACATCAGATTATGCCCATTTCAATGCGCCCTTAAATGGTTTTCATGGTCAAGCAGCTAAATTGATACAGTCATTTTCATTCGTTATGGGCTCAGCCTTTTTTTCGCTCTCTTTTTCTTTCTCTTTCCATTTTTTCTCCTTTCTTTTCTCCTTTTTTCTCTTCCTTCCGTAAGATTGCGGACGGGCAGATTGAAAGTTGAAAAACTGTTATGTTTAAAAATCTCGATGCGTAGATGCGCTCTCCTCACTGTCAATTACACAGCAATGCTGAATGAATCAAATGAAAATCCTCTTTGGACATGTAAATTTGTGTGTAATACATCCAGTGCACACTGATGATGATGATTTCGTAAGTGCATCAACGAAAGTCTGTGTGTGTGTGTGTGTGTGTGTATCGCATGTAACGCATCCCATTTGAAATGGCCTTTGAAATGGAGTCAAAGTGTGCACGTCCTTGATTTTCAGCACGTTTCTTTTATTATATTGTATTTTCTCAACGATAAAGCTCCAAACAACTGCATCATATCAACTCTTGCGCTCATTTGCTTGCTCTTTCTCTCTTGCTCTCTCCCTATCTCTCGCTCCCGCTCTCTCCCAATGTCAGGGTGTTTTTCGACTTTTAAAACCAAGGGGGAAACTACTACTACCGCATAATTCATATTAATACAATCTAGTACAACACCAATTCTGATAAATTCCAAAGAATTCTGCGCGATTCAAAAGAACTCCAATCAATTCCGATGTTTCTAAGTCAAGTTTGATGATGATCAACTTCAAAAATTGCAAATATAGGGTCATTTAGCATCTCAAAGGAATACTTAAGCGCATAGATGTTCAATCTTATCGAAATAACTTCAGATATGGCGTTTTTAATTGTACATAGGTCTCACTTCCAATTCAATATTTCACTTCAAATAGGTAAAGGCTTTATGATACATAAAATATTTTCAAAATGGAAAACAGAGCTAGAATTGAGTCTTGTAGATCAAACCAAGTCAAATATGTTCTGGAAGTAAAAATCTTCAATATGCATTCAAATGAATGGTACATGTCCCTATATTTGCGATATTTTGAGTTGATCATCACCAAATTTGACTAAGGAACATCGGAATCAATTGGAATTGTTTTGGATTGCGCAGAATTTTTTGGAGTTTTTCAGAATTTGTGTTGTACTAGATTGTATTAATATGAATTACGCGGTAGTAGTAGTTTCCCCCTTATTTAAAACACTCTTTCTCCACTGTAGATATACATATGGATTGCATCTCGAATAAGCTCTCAATTGTATTTTACCTAAACAAACATGCTATCGAAAATGGTTGTTGTGCACAATTTTCAAATAGATGTGCGTTGTATGCATAAAACTTTTGCCACTTGAAACTGAAAACCTTAATTTGTACACCGTTAATCTTCAGCAGCATCAGCAGCAGAATTGCAAACCCGTTCAACATAAACACCACTCGGCTCAATTAGGAAATACGAAACTTTTCTTTCTTTCTCTCTCTCTCTCTCTCTCTCTCTCACTTCGCTCAAATCTAACGATACACACCGAATTAATCATTATTTTTGTTAATCATTCTGGAAAATGGAAATAACAATAAACAAATGAATCCAAAGTACTCGGTCATATTTGGTAAACAATGGAGAAAAGTGAAAAACAGCGTAAATTCCGAGTGTTGGTTTATCCTTGGAATCAACCTGTGCTTCTCTCCCATAAGAACCAATGTATTTGACGTGACAGTGGATAGCGGTAGCGCCTAAATAGGATCTGCGGCAACTTAATGAACTATCAATACTTCTTGTTGTTGCGAAATTCATGACAACAACAACAAGTATTGATAGTTCTTAAAAATTCCGCAAATTGCGAATAGGCGCCACCGCTATCTTGCGCCGGTCAAAAGCACAGTTTGCTTGGAATGTATCACATTCTTGTTATATTGATAAACTTTGAAATATTCAATTGCATAGCCGAATTTACGGATTTTCCATGGGAATTTGAAACCATGCTGAATGTATTCGACTTTAATAGTCTCTGATGCTTTGATAAATTTTTATAAAATGAAACACCATTCTCAAGGCGATGAAATCAAACTGGTCCTTTGGTCATATTTTGTAACGAACGAGATCGGATGAGCTGCCAATTTGGTTGAGTGCAAAGCTAAACGGTTATCAAAAATGAATGTATTTTGCTTGCGCGCCTGTAATAGGTATCACCAATTCCATATTCCGTTCGTTATATCCGTCAAAAATTGATGGAAGTAAAGAAAGGATCGACGAAACAGTTTCAATAATTGAAATCACCGCCTTGGTGTAAAATAACCCTTTAGACATAGATTGAAATTGGTGGCATCTGTAACAATCCCTTGATGTCCTTACCTAACTCAAAACCCTCCTTTCGCAACTGTCATCCGAAGTAACTGGCGCATAAAAATTCAATTCGCAACTGAATATATAATTATTGTAGCGGTTTTCGGTGTTGTCATACTCTTCGCTTTTTTCCCTTGTTATTTATTTATGATAAATTCAAGTGCACTGCAATCCTTATGAATATTGAAATGGGAAAATGTGCGAATCGAAAATGTATGTATGGTGGTTTGGTATTGAAATCAGCATGGGAACTATTGAGCGGTAGAGTCAGAGCGGTGTGTTCCGATTCATTCACCGGAATTTTGGTTTTGTTAAATCAAACAAATCAAGGGATACAGAATGAGAGAGTGAGATGTGCGAAGAATCATCAAGATTGGATCGATACTTACCAGAAAGTTTTCATCAAAACGCTTACTCTATCTATTTGCTGAATGTCAGCAATTCGATGTTGATGTGTACACGCTATTTTTTGTTTCCGCTCCTTAACTCACTCAATCTGTGTGCTATGCAATCGAAAACGTAAAGAAATTGCATCGACCTGATGAAGATCTGCACAGTTAGATTCATCTAAAAGGTATAGTGTTGCAAATACAAACCATGTTATTTCACAGCATCAGACACAAGACGAAAAAAAAAAACACAGAAATCCAGATGAAAATGAAAAGACAATGCAATTTACAGTAAATGTATTTTTATTACGAAATAAAAACGTACACGTAAAATTTTATTGCTGGAATTGCAAGTGTCGTTATTATATGCTATGCTCTTTCTCTCGTGTGTTTTTGTATGTGTGTGTGTATATATTGTGTAATGTCGGCAAAAATCTCATTAAAAATGTCATTATTTTACTCTGTTCGCATTCATTCATTCATTTGTCGATTTTCGTTTGCCACGACGACAGCGAACGCACGAATGCAATATCATTTATCAAATATTCATTCAGTTTTCCCTTCGGTTGGGGTAGGATTTCTCATGCTTTTTCATTCTGTTTTTGGTATACAGTAAGAAAGTCCGTCCGAATTGGTTTTTGCTCTTCCAAAAAATTTCATTATCGAAATTTCCGTTTTGCATCGCATAAAATGCTACTGCTTGATGTTTAATACCATGTGATGCTAACGCTGCTGCTGCTGCTGCATTCAGAGAGCAACAACAGTGCTATTGGAATTCGTGCATTCATTGTCGCAATTCTCTCCGGGTGATAAAAACGTTATGGCGAAAAATCCCGAATTACTGTTTCAGGGTTCATTAGTCATTAGCCGATGAACAGCACATAGATATAATAATGACACTTGGCAAATCCATTCCATTTAATTTGTTTTTAATCGTAAACTAGTATTTTGTAGTTTCAACGCGTAAATGTAATTTTTGTGTCATCGGATTGTTATTGTTGTTGTTGTTGTTTTAGTAGTTATTGTTGTTTTTGTTCTTCGGTCGGTGTTCATTCTGTAATCGGAATGCTTGTCTGCTTGTGTGTATGTATTGTATTGTTTGTGTATATAGTGTTTGTTTCGTGTTTTTTTTTTCCGGTATGTCAATGTTTTCTATGCATTGGCTGTAATTAGTTTTAGTAATAGTATCAATAATGCAATGTTTATCTATGCATAATAGCCGATAGTGAATATCTATATATCATATACAATATTCTATTCATAATATTTTGTATTTTTATGCTATTTCTTTCATCATCATCCTCTCCTTCTGTCTTTCCATGCGTTTTATTGTTGTTGTTTTTTTTCGGGTTCTTTTTTCCTTCGGTTTGGTTGAGTGTATTGAGGAAGATTGGGGTGGTTAATATATTTTGAATTTAAATACTCGATTTTGCGTTTAATGCTGGTATATCTATTCATAATCAATTAGCCATCGATTGAAAAATGTGTCTCTGTTGATCGTTTTGATATCGATTTGGAAGTGGTCGAGTGGTCGAATTTGAACATCAATGTGAGAGCAAGATGTCATATTCAATCGATGGACGCGTTTATTTAGTTAATTCTTCTTGGTTAGCCAAAAAACTGGAGAAACAACTACTAATAAATACAAATTTGCTATGATTTTGATAATTTGATTATGCTTCTGAACTGGATTAATGAGTGAGAATAACGGATTTTATGGGATTTGTATCGAAAGTGCCTCAATATTTCTATATAT